GTGGAGCTTTTCATGGAATGCTGCCCTTTTCATTACTGCATACATCTTAGATTTAATTTGGCATGGGACACATCAACCTTGGCTTTTAGAGACAAGGTTGGAGGCTGCAGAGCATGAAAATGAGCTCTTCTAAACACGATTTTTTCCCCATTTGCCACCCTATCAGCGGCAGCTTTTGAAAGAACACAAGGAACAAGTTATCTTTTTTCTTGGCTAGACAGAAAATTAATAAAGGAGATACAAATATTTCCCACTATCTAATGGAGAGTGCTGCATTTGTCTCCCTAAAATATAGATAAAACACTTTTAGTCATAAAGTAAAATTGCATGTATTGTAGAGCTACTTTACATTTAGAATATCACTGTTATTCTTGGGTGCATACAGGAGACGCCTTTGGAAATGTTTAATTGTCTAATTATTGCCTAATTATTGTGAAAAGAACTGTTATTTTTCACTTTGCCAGGTTTCTAGGAAGTGAAATCGCTACTTCTGGCAAAATTTTGAATTGTTCTGCTACTTTCTCTCAAAGTCTGTTTAAGATCTTTACCCATAGATGCAATTAAGTTCCTTTAAGTCACTCTTGAGCATGCCCAGATAGTTATTTTATAGTCTTTGAAACCCTTTTCTTTGGGTTACTGTTTCTCTTCTTAGAAGGCTTTTGAGGCTGTGTCTACACCAGCAGGTTATTTCCAAAAAAGTTATTTTGAAATAATAACTCCCCAAATAACGATTCCAAAATCAGCTTATTCCTCGTCACAAGGAGGAGTTATTTCAAAATAACAAACCCATTATTTTGAAATAACGAGCGTGGTAGCGTGGAGGCTCTCCTTGTTATTTCGAAATAACTCCCTAGCGTAGACATGCCCCGAGGGTCGTGTTCTGGTTTGGTTTATCTAGCGGTGGCTTGCCAGACCAGCTGCTGCGACAGATTAACCATTTGTAAACCTGGGGTTACTGGCCATAGCGCATTAGGATGTAACTTGTGTGCCGTTCCTCTGGGTTCACGTCTCACAGCCCTGAGAGCTGGAAGAGCATTTGGCCTTGTTCTCTGGGGTTGCAGACTGGACGGTACAGGGGATCACTGCGCGGTTGGAAAGAAACGGCCGGTTTTACTCTCCCACGAATGTTCATGGGAAAGCTCCCATTTAAGATCAGGCCATGGTAGAGACGGAACGGGGTATTCTTCAGGAAGGACTGGGAGGCAGTGGGGTAAGCCTGCTGTCTGTATGGGGAAGGGGACACACAGCGGATAAGCCCCGGTAATTTGTCAGCCCGTGTTTTGTACACATCCCCTATCCACTGCGGATGTGAGGCTGTTTCTGTCCTCAGCTACAAGGCCTGGCTGTTCCATAGGCGGGCAGCTGTTTGCCATGTTTGAAGCTGATTTCCTGATCAGACGAAGGGAAAATATAATTTTTCCGAGTAAACAAAGTTGAAAAATCCCCTGGATTTCAAATGAAATACTTTGGCATCTCAAAAAGACAATCAAAGTGCTGCGGTTGGCATGCGAGGCCCACCTCTCCATCTGGCGCTGGTGTCAATAAGAAATTGTTGAGCTGGATAATTTAATTGAAAAACAGATGATGCTGTCTTTCCTACTGACTCGGGCACATTCACACTTCTCATTACCATAGGCACCAAACGTATAGGAGAAAGCAATCAGGGCTGCGAACCTCAGGTGCAATTAAGTGCTTGTGCGTAGCACCATAACTTTAACCCGCACCTCCCACACTTTTAAAATTACCCTCGTGAGCAGCCAGCAACTTTTAATGGGCGAGGAGAGGAGGAGACAGGGGAGGCGTAAATTCTGTGAAATGGGAAATCAGATCGCAATGGTGAGATGGTTGCTTTGTTACACATGCCTTTGCTCCATTTGCTCTTAATGAAGCATGACCACTTGGTGCCTATTTTTGCATTGAATTAAACTTTTCCTGTGTGTGCTGGCGATACCTTCTCTGCGAGAGCCAGAGAGCTGTCAGCAAAAGGAACAGGCCACTGAAAGGAGAGCGAAGAATCCTCCGTCCCAGAGAACGGAAACGGGTAAGTGCTCTAGTGCATCGCCCTGCGTGAAAACCATTGGAACCTGCACGGCTGCTGGTTTGTTTGCAGGGAGATCTAGCAGCCTGGTCGGCAGAGGGGAAGGAGCCATTTCTCCTGGGTTAGCTGTAAAATTGCAGCTAGATTCTCTGTCTGGAAAGGTCTGAATCCCATTCAAACAGGGGCTGGGCCAAGCGCACCAAAGAACTGTTGCGCTCAACAGAAGGGCTCACCTGGGCACTTCCTGGAAGGGAGGCTACTGCAAGGTAGATTTACACCCCAGCTTGCCACGAACGAGGGTCTGTCTAGAGACGCCTGAAGGTTCCATGTATCCCAATGGGTCTCCATCAGCCACGCCAGCCTAGCTTCTCCGGAAGATAGCGGTTCGGGGCCAGGGCCCTGGGGGGCTGAGAAGCCTCTTTCTGCCACATCCTACAAAGTGACACCGGCCTGCGTCAGGTTCCAATATCCGACTGTGTAAGTGGCACTTCTCTGCAATGGGTCTCCCCTCCCCCCAGCACAGAAGGGGGCTGCTGGTGGATCTTGGAGCCCTAACTTTGCCTTGAAAATGAGCCAACGGTGAACTTTGGTTCCTGAGCAGTCCCTGAGCAGGCACCTGTCCCTGGAGACCCGTAACAATGGGTGTCGGGGACCCTGCTGAGAATATCAGCTCTGGGCAAACTGCTTAGAAAGTGGGCAAGACTGGGGATCCTCCACTAATAGGCACACCAAGCCGGCAGCAAATAAAACTCCTGTGGTGTAAATCCTCCGCCCAGTCCACGATAAAGTGGATGTCAGACGCGGAGTATTTGTGTACTGTGCATCATGTAACTTTCAGCTGTTCTCAGTCATGTAAGTTTCAGTTACCGGGAGCCATGTCACTTTCATGCCGTGTTCCGAGTCCTGCAACTTCTTGCAAGCTTTGTAACTTCCAGCTATTGCTTGTGCAAGCTGTGAGCTCTGCAACATTCGACCCTGGGACAAAGGAGTTGGGGGATGGAGGTGGATGGAGATAGAGGGTGAATAGGGTCTGCGTCTTTGTGGAGAGGAACCGTGCGGCTGCAGAGAGGGGTCAGGGGAGAGATAGGGTCTGTTCTGATCTTCGCTTCCACGTGATTAAGGAGGTGTAGCGAAGATGAGAAGAAATGAATAGGCATGAGGAAAATGAGATGTGGGCGGGCCTCTCGGTGCCGGACACAGAGAAAGAACTCGGTGTATGTGACGGGGCCAGCCCAGCTGTGTAAAGAGACGAGAGCACGCGGACCACGGGCTGTCCGATCAGCTCACCGGCCCGGAGTGGTGACTGCAGGCAGACGCACCGGCCCCACCACGCTCGGCTTCTTCTGCTCTCTCTGCACAGCTCGTGGGGTGTGTGGGTGTCTGAGTGTGCGAATGTGGGTGTGTGCGTGTGTGTGGAGTTCCATTCCCTTCTCACTTGGGCCACTAGCAGCACTGAATAAGTCAAAACAAGTGTAACCGTGGGGAATTTTCTCCAGGGAAATTAGGCAACAACTCCTGTTTCGCCCCGCTGGCCAACAAGAAGCCACACAAGCAACTCTCCGACCCTCCAGCTCCCCTGGCCTGCCACCCGCACCACTCCCTGTACAGACTGGTTTTCAGAGTCACTCATCTCATCAAATCAAAAGTTCTTCCAATCCCAAAGGATCAGCCACATTCCCATGTAGAACGCAGGCCAGGCTTATACCGGACCCGGAAGGTGGGCTTAAGTGACACACCTTCAGCTACGTAAATAACGTGGCTGGAGTTGTCATAATGTGAGCTGAGCGTGGTGCCGTTTCCACAGTGGGAGGTCGATGGGAAAGATTTGGAGAAGGTCCAGAGAGGAGCAACAAGAATGATGACAGGTCTAGAGAACATGAGCTCTCGAGGTCCCTTCCCGTTCTAGTGTTCTATGACTATAATTCTATGACCTATGAGGGAAGACTGAAGGAATTGGGCTTGTTTAGTTTGGAAAAGAGAAGAGTGAGAGGGGACATGACAGCGATTTTCAGGTATCTAAAAGGTGTCACTGGGAGGAGGGGGGAATTGTTCCCCTCGGCCTCTGAGGACAGGACAAGAAGCAATGGGCTTAAACTGCAGCAAGGGAGGTTTAGGTTGGACATGAGGAAAAACTTCCTACCTGTCAGGGTGGTCAAACACTGGAATAAGTTGCCCAAGAAAGCTGTGGAGTCTCCGTCACTGGAGCTATTGAAGAGCAGGTTGGACAGACACCTGTCAGGGATGGTCAGACGGTGCTGGGTCCTGCCGTGAGGGCAGGGACTGGACTTGGTGACCTCTCCAAATCCCTTCCAGTCCTAGTGTTCTATGAATACCCACAGCAGAAGGCTCCTGTTGCCTTCACTCCACCTACTATGGCCAAGGGGTCTTTAGCGAATTGTGGCCCTGCTCAGACCAGCCAGGGGAGCACTGACAGTGGCGAGGATGCTGGCAAACTGAGACCACCACACAGTGCACTGACCAGGATCGTCTCATTTTCCCTTAGCCTCTCTGTCTGTAGCCATCTGTTGGCTCTCAGAGGCAGGAGCTGAGCTGGCCGGGGACTGGCGCACCCACAGGAACACAGCTAGCAGATAACAGCGGTAACAAAACCGTATGTTTCTCCCTCTCGAGAAGCAAGCAGGCAGGGCAGCCAAAGACGTAACTGGGTACATGAATTTTTGACAGACGTCTTGTGGCCACCTTCCACCTACATCGAAAAGTGGAGAAGAACGCCACTTCGTTAACGGTGGCTGAAGACATGAACATTCTGAGCGATCTTGTGTTCGCTCTCTAGCTCTTCTCCGCAGGACGCTGCTACAATTGCACATAAAGACAAGATTTTTTTTTTTTAATGAAACAGACTCTACTCGTTAGCAGCCAAGTATGGCATCAGGTTAGACGTTGGTTAGCAGTGATTCATGGCCAGCATGGTCACGCAGTACTCTTTTACTTAGCTAATGAACTAAATTGTTTACTTCATGCTCCATTTCCACAACAAAATGGCTGTAATACATAATGTGATAATTCCCGTTTTCTCTTTTTTTATGTCTGTAAGAAACACAGAGAGCTTTCAAAAAGCATATTTAGGGAAACATCACGCTAATGAGTTTATCCATATTGCATGTAAATAATTAAATATTGCGAAATCAAGATGTTTACACATCTCGGGAGGGTAACAGAATAAGCTAAACTATGTCTGGAAGGAACTTTCTAAACAGCTTTCTAAAGACTTCCTGAGTGTTTTCACTCTCACCTTGGATCGAAAGCCAGTCAGAACTTCCATTCATCCTTGGAAACCTGAAAATATCTTTGTGTCCTAACGTTCTCATTTCCCCCTGTGAACATTTTGGATTTTTCCTGGGTCTCCTGGAATCCAAGTCACCAGGTTGTGGATCCAATGGCTTGTGTTGTAGATCCTGGATCACTTGTGGTCTTTCTCTGGGTCTGCAGCAAGAGAACCCCCCAAACACGCTGTAAATCCTTCAGAAAGGGCAGTTGTGCTTTTTTGCAAAGTGGCTGAGTTTGGGGATTTTTAAATTCAGCATTATGAAGGTTAGGGTAAGGGGTTAGGGTTAGCATTTCTGGCTCAGACCTTTCATTTAAAAACCTGCTATTGTGTGTGTTTCCACAAATATGGATATGCTCTTTCTCTACCCAGGCAAACTGGGTGCCTACCCAATATGAAGTGTACAGTCAAACAGATACATAAAACAGTATGCATGCAAACAGATTGGAGAATCACCCTTAAACATTTCACAGATATGTGGATTTCAGAGTGAAAGAACTCTTCTTAAAATTGAATGGCGTGAAATGGATGAAATCTGCAAAGCTGATTGAAAACGTGGAGCTATCTGGATTGGAGATACCTCTACCTGCCTAGAATAAATGACACTGTGTCGAAAGACTTGATTATGTCCCTTTGCAATTAGCTCCGTATTCCATCTGCATTCTCTTGATGTGTATAAACACTCCATTTCCAGACTGAGAAGGAATTCTTCAGCTTTACTTTTACTTGTGACATGCAATAGTTGCAGGCCACGCAGATGCTGAAGTATTTAGCTGGTCGGTGTTAGATGGTAGCCGAGAATAAAATGCCCAAGTAGTTTTAGTTAATTTCCTTCATTTAAGTAAATAACTTAAAAAACAGGGAATAGTCCTGCAGTTACAGTTCTGTGACAGAGGAACACAGCTACCCCTCTGAAACATCGTTTGAGTTCCCTCCTTATTGTATTGATTGCAAGAGTCAAAAAAGCTCAAGGTGATATAAATGCTTCCACTGTCCAGCATCGAAATAGCGTTAGAAAGGTTCAGGGTCCTTGCTATGGATACCCTGGCTTACTCAGTCTCTTGTCAAATGCCCACTAGCTCTCATTCTGAAGTTGGAAGTTTATTAATCAAAATGAATTAATTACTGAGTAATTATGCAAGACAAACAACACACAAGATGTGCCAAATCAAAGAGTCTCTCAAAGGCTTTTTCCTCTTGGATGCAAAATATCCAAGTGTTTAAGTTCTTTAATGAAAAAGGAAGGGTTAATTTTACTCTCAGGCCTGAGTTTGTAAAAGGTATTTGCTTTTCCAGTTTTTAACAGACCAAACATAAGAACGAGGGGTCACCCAATGAAATGAAGAGGCAGCAGGTTTAAAACAAACCAAAGGAAGTTTTTTTCACACAGCGCAGAGTCAACCTGTGGAACTCCTCGCCAGAGGATGTTGTGAAGACCAAGACTTTAACAAGATTCAAAACAGAACTAGATAAATTGCAGTGGAGGCTAGGTCCATCAATACTTATTTTCCAGGATGGGTAGGGATGGTGGCCCTGGCCTCTGTTTGTCAGAGGCTGGGAATGGGTGACAGGGGAGAGATCACGTGAGGATTCCCTGTTCTGTTCCCTCCCTCTGGAGCACCTGGCACTGGCCACTGTGGGCAGACAGGATACTGGGCTGGATGAATGTTTGGTCTGACCCAGTACAGCCGTTCTTACGCTCTTCTGCTAAAACATGCATAAAACCAAATGTACATACAAATAAGCCCAGGAAATTAGCTAAACGAACCCCTCAGCGCTGACTCACACCAAGAGCTAGAATTATTTATGGATGTTTCAAACATGAGAGTGATCAGAAGCCTTTTGTTCTGGGGCTTTTGGTTTGCTCACGTACACTAGAACAGCCTTAACTCGCAATGCAATGGGAAAGCTTTACCAGCACGCAAGGAAGATGAATGGACGATTAAGAACTGGGCTTAAATAGGATTTAAATGGTGACTAAGCTTTCGGCAGGCCCTCTGTGCCTGGGTGATTTTATTCATCGCTGTGTAATTGCTTTCGATGTTTTGTATGCGGCTCACTGCGTAGGTACGAAGTGATTGGGGCGTTGGGGGGATTTTCAGCTCTGTACCTATACCCATCCAGTTGTGTGTTTGGCTACCGCATGCCTTATTCCGCCTTTTCATTTCAATGACGGCTTCCCAGCCATTTCTGCTCCAGCCACCGCCTAGAACTGCCGGGCTGTGTCTAAACTGCATCCCTTTTCCGTAAAAGGGATGCAAATTAGACACATCGCAATTGCAAATGAAGTGGGGATTTAAATCCCCCCCGCTTCATTTGCATAAACATGGCTGCCGCTTTTTTCCGGATCGGAGCTTTGCCAGAAAAAAGCGCCAGTCTAGACGGGGATTTTTCGGAAAATAAAGCCTTTTCCGAAAGATCCCTTATTCCTCTTAAAATAAGGAATAAGGGATCTTTCAGAAATGGCTTTATTTTCTGAAAGATCCCCGTCTAGACTGGTGCTTTTTTCCGGCAAAACTCCAAGCCAGAAAAAAAGTGGCAGGCCATTTTATGCAAATGAAGCGGGGGGGAGGAGGATTTAAATCCCCGCTTCATTTGCAATTGTGATGTGTCTAATTTGCATCCCTTTTATGGAAAAGGGATGCAGTCTAGACACAGCCACTGAGTTTAGTGTTAGAAGAAAAAGACCTAACCGGGGACTGCATACTGCAATCTACACATAACTAAGTGCGCATGGATGTAGCTAGAGGAAATAGAGGTACAGTATTTGGGCATTATGAGCCACCGTAGCGCCTACTCGGACATTCTCACGCTTGCTATGAGTAATGGTAGCAGGTTTAAAACTAATAAAAGAAAGTTCTTCTTCACACAGCACATAGCCAACCTGTGGAACTCCTTGCCAGAGGAGGCTGTGAAGGCTAGGACTATAAGGCTGTGTCCAGACTCAGGGGTTTTTTCGAAAAAAGTAGCCTTTTTTCGAAAAAACTTCCCCTGCGTCCAGACTCAAGCCGCGTTCTTTTGAAATTAATTCGAAAGAACGCGTCTTTTCTTTCGATGGCGGTAAACCTCATTTCACGAGGAAGAACGCCTTCTTTCGAAAGTTCCTCTTTCGAAAGAAGGCGTTCTTCAATGTAAATAGGGCTTCTTCAAAAGAGAGCATCCAGACTCACTGGATGCTTTCTTTCGAAAAAGCAAGCCGCTTTTTCGAAATTTCTCCATGCAGTCTAGACGTTCTCTTTCGAAAGAGGCTCTTTCGAAAGATGCTTTCGAAAGAGCCTCTTTCGAAAGAAGCCTGCAGTCTAGACATAGCCCAACAGAGTTTAAAGAGAAGCTAGATAATTTCATGGAGGTTAGTTCCATAAAAGGCTATTAGCCAGTGGGTAGGAATGGTGTCCTTGGCCTCTGTTTGTCAGAGGCTGGAGAGGGATGGCAGGAGACAAATCGCTTGATCACTGTCTTCGGTCGACCCTCTCTGGGGCACCTGGTGCTGGCCACTGTCGGCAGACAGGATACTGGGCTAGATGGACCTTTGGTCTGACCCAGTACGGCCGTTCTTATGTTCTTATGCTAATTGCATACTCTGCGTGGCTCAGTCATTCCGTGTGCTGGATTTAATACCCCACCTCGCAACACTTTCCATAAAGCATTTTATAAAACGTGGGCTTGTCGCCAGGGAAATGCCGATTTTCATCGGGGCTATGCTGTCCTGCTGACGGCTTGCTTCAGCATGCAAACTCTTCTGTCTTGTGCCAGAGACACACTCCACCTGCACAAACCCACCACACGTCTGCTCCCACTTGTCATTCGATTTCCGTTTCCTTTTTTCCTATCCCGGGGCCGCGGCAGTGCGACGTGACGTGAAGAAAGGTTCTAATGTGCAATCAGACATTGCACTGAATTCCACTCGGATGGCTTAGCATGAAGACTGGCGTATGTGCTCCATCTGTCAGAGATGGAAAATCTACATACGTGGACGTGTGGACGCGCTCGCTGATGTGTAGACAGAGAAGGCTCCAGAGCGCCACAAATCCACAGAACGTCCTGAGTGCTGGCTTGTGCCTTTTGATCACTGAGGTAACTGGAAGATGTGCAAATCAAACCCCAGCAGAGAAATCCCGATAGACGACACATTAGGATTAGGGGCAGAGCAGGCTTTCACCCCATCTGTGCTAATAGCCATTGAGAGACCGAACCTCTTCCCTAATTCTCTTGAACTTCGCTAGTTCTCCATCCAGCCAGTCTTGGCTCTCACAACGTCCTCTGGCAAGGAGTTTGCGCGTGTGTTGTGGGAAGTTTTTCCTTTTGTTTGTTTTGAACCTGCTGTCTATTAATGGCATTGGATGAGCCCCGGTTCTTGTGTTATGGGCAGGGGTAAATAACACTTCCTTATTCAAAAGCGACGAGGAGTCCTGTGGCACCTTATAGACTAACTGAAGTGTAGGAGCATAAGCTTTCGTGGGCAAAGACCCACTTCGTCAGATGCATGTAGTGGAAATTTCCAGAGGCAGGTATAAATATGCAGGCCAGGATCAGGCTGGAGATGACAAGGTGGATCCAATCAAGGAGGGTGAGGCCCACGTCTAGTAGCTGAAAACCTCTCCAACGCATCATTAGTGATCTACAACCCATACTGGACAATGATCCCTCGCTTTCACAGGCCTTGGGAGGCAGGCCAGTCCTTGCCCACAGACAACCCGCCAACCTGAAGCATATTCTCACCAGCAACTACACACCGCACCATAATAACTCGAACTCAGGAACCAATCCTTGCAACAAACCTCAGTGCCAACTCTGCCCACATATATACACCAGCAACACCATCACAGGACCTAACCAGATCAGCCATACTATCACTGGTACATTCTCCTGCACATCCACCAACGTAATATATGCCATCATGTGCCAACAATGCCCCACTGCTATATACATCGGCCAAACTGGAGAGTCCCTACGTAAAAGAATCAATGGACACAAATCTGATATTAGGAATGGCAACATACAAAAACCTGTAGGGGAACACTTCAATCTTCCTGGACACACAATTGCAGAGCTAAAAGTAGCCATCCTGCAGCAAAAAAACTTCAGGACCAGACTTCAAAGAGAAACTGCTGAGCTACAGTTCATCTTCAAGTTTGATACAATCAACTCTGGATTAAACAAAGACTGTGAATGGCTCGCTAACCACAAAAGCAGCTTCTGCTCTCTTGGAATTCACACCTCCAGATCAGCCGCTAGAAGTGGGCCTCATCCTCCTTGATTGGATCCACCTCGTCATCTCCAGCCTGATCCTGGCCTGCATATTTATTCCTGCCTCTGGAAATTTCCACTACATGCACCTGACGAAGTGGGTCTTTGCCCACGAAAGCTTATGCTCCTACACTTCAGTTAGTCTATAAGGTGCCACAGGACTCCTCGTCGCTTTTGCAGATTCAGACTAACACGGCTCCCCCTCTGATACTTCCTTATGCAGTTTCTCTGTGCCAGGCGTGATGTTATAGACCTCTGTCATCCTCACGCAGTCATCTCTTTTCCATGCTGAAAAGTCCCTCCTCCGATGAAGACTCTTCCGTACCCCCAATCGTTGTGTGGCCCATTTCTGTACCGTTTCCGATTCTAATAAACCCGTTCTGAGACAGAGTGGCCAGAACTGCCCACAGTATCCAACGTGTGGGTGCGCCACTGATTCCCGCAGCGCCATTGTGATATTTACTGCCTCATAACCCTAATCCGCATGCTCGAACCCTGCCCGAATGGTTCTATGCGAGCTCTTTGGCCGGCTGTGGCACTGGAGTGGATGCTATCAGAGAGCTGTCCAAGATGCTCCGAGGGCCCTTCCTACAAGGGTAACAGCCAGATTAGACCCTATCATATTGGATGGGCAGTCGGGATTCTGGTTTCCAGAGAGAATTACTTTCGCATTCGTCAGCAATTTTGTGGCCCAGTTGTGTGAGATCCCTTTGCAATTCTCTGCACACGCCTCTGGACTTAACTACCTTGACGAGTTTGGTGTCATCTGCAAACTTTGCCACCTCCCTTTTTACATTTCTGTCCAGCCCATTTCTGAGGATGGTGAATAGCCGTGGTACAGAGCCACCAGCTGGCTCTCTCCATTCTGAAAACTGAGAGTTGATTCCTCTATTTTATTTCCTGTTTTAACCACCCACTGATCCAGGGGAGGAGCTTCCCTCTCACCCCATCACAGCTCACTTTTGTGAAGAGCTGTTGGTGAGGGGTGTTATCAAAGGTTTCTGGAAATCTGACTACACTAGATCCACTGGATCCCTTTGCTCACATGCTTATGGACTGAACATAACAACGGCCAGACTGGCTCAGACCAAAGGTCCATCTAGCCCAGTGTCCTGTCTGCTGACAGTGGCCAGCACCAGGTGCCCCAGAGGGAACGAACAGAACAGGTGATCATCAAATGATCCCTCCCCTGTCATCCATCTCCAGACAAACAGAGGCTAACAACACCATTCCTCCCCATCCTGGCTAATAGCCATGGATGGACCTAAGCACCATGAATTTATCCAGCTCTTTTTGAGCTCTGTTAAAGTCCTGGTCTTCACAACATCCTGTGGCAAGGAGTTCCACAGGTTAACCATGTGCTGAGTGAAGTAAAACTTCCTTTTGTTTGTTTTAAACCTGCTGCCTATTCATTTCATTTGGTGATCCCTCATTCTTGTGTTATGGGAACAAGTAAATAACTTTTTCTTATTCACTTTCTCCACACATGTCAGCCTTTGTCCACTAAATCCAGTCCACGCTCGCCACTGTATTTTAAGTCTTTTGAGAGCAGGGACCATCTTTTAGGTGTGTGTTGTTGAGCACCTCACACGGTAGGGTCCTGGCTGGTGCTGGTTTGTGCTCTAGGATGCTTCAATGGAAATAATAAGTGAGGCCTATTTGCAAGATTTGCTGCCTGTGTTTCATGCAACCTAAGCGGCTTCCTTCTTAGTTTTTTCCTTTCGTGGGGCCAACATTTGTAGCTTTGGCTCCACTCCAGACAGGAGCCGTCCCTTGCTTCCCACGATGGATGCATTTGACCAGAGGTTCCCAGTGTGTTAATGACATAGTGCCAGTTCCACTTTGGGATTCTGCAGGTGAAGCGACATCGCGTGTGTTAATGGAACCATCGAATTATGGAGCCGAAGGATTACAAGGGACTGAAAACAGGAATGGGCGGCAGAGGACAGATCAGTTTGTGATTCTCTGGCTGCTCTTGTGTTCTTAAGGGTCCTCTAGTCCAACCCACTGCCAAGATGCTTGATTTGTTGTGTCTAAACCAGTGTTTCTCAACTCTTTTTTTATAAAGTTCCCCTTTTTCCAAAAAAAATTATAAGTACCCCCAGGACCTACAGTTTTCAGACATGCACATTTTTTTTCTACCATTGCCACACATTTCTTTAAACAACTGAATCGCAGCCGGGCGGACGATGAAATTTTTGGGTGTAAAAAGGACAAAAATAATAAAGTTCTGTCCAACTTAAAACAAAAATTCAGTTTTCTCCAAATTTCTGCTGAGTTGATGCACCCCCCAGACTTCTCTCGAATACCCCTAAGGGTGCTCATACCACGGGTTGAAAACCCTGGGCCAAACTATCCAGCCCCCTGTGGAAACGCTCCAGTGAATGTGCTTCTATGGCCTCTCGAGGCATCTGTTCAGTTGTCCAACTGCTCTTCTAGTGAGGAAGGTTTTCTTGAGATTTAATCTGCTCTGCTGAGGTTCGACCCCCACGGCCTCTTGTCCTGCCCTCTGTGGCAAGAGAAAACCACTTTTCTTCTTTACCGGGCTTGGAGATTTTCCACTGATTTCAACAGGAGCAGGGTTTTGATCCAAACGCTTCCACAAAGGTGCTGACGTCTGAGCATGTTTGCATGGGCAAACGGCTCTTTGCACGTGCACTTATCCCCTGGCACACGCAGCAGAATGGTTTGCAGAGCTAAACGTCGGCATATTATTATCCTCATCAAACACTTGGATCTCCAGGATTTGAAACTGTAATTGGGAGCAAAAAGGGGGTGCCGGGTTCATTGTGTCATCCTCCCCGCAACAGCCTGAGAAAATACAATTGAAACAATCGATTGGTTCAATGGAGAAACAGCTCGGTGACGCAGACAGCTTCCTAGAAAGTCACCAAGCGCCGGTGAGCCGGCGCAGGAATCCTGATCCTGACTTTCGGAAGGTCCTGATCTCAAACACGTTTCACTGACTACAAGAACAGTCCAGGGGCAGGGTGCGGCAGCGAGGAACATTTCTCTTTCAAGAAGTTTTGTCTTTGAAAACAAAAAAAACTTTCCCCGCTTTTATGTCAAGAATAGACTGTGCTGAATCTTTGCAGCGACTTTACCTTTAATCTGTGCCACTCGCCTGACATGTGCCGAGAGAGAGAGTCAAGCTGAGCCGTTCCTTAGCTTGATCTGAAACGTTTTCATTCTTTTCTTTTAATTTCATACGTTCCCAGCAGGGCGCGCCTACCCATTCTGTGGACACAAGCCCCCGCAGCTTCTAAAACACATTGACGGTCTCTTTCTTTGTCTCCTCTTTGGTATTTCATGTGTGTGGGTCACTCCGAGGCAGACTTAGCATCAGGGGGCTTCCCTGGAAGGAGGAGGCTTTGGTCCTCCTTGCACCAGCTCCGTGGGTAGCACCCTGGCGGGTCTGTGGATGTCTGCTTGCAGCGTGAGGGCTGAACCGGAGTGCTGCAGAGTCAGTAGTTTCCACCTGGGCCTCCCAGCGGGCTGCAGCCGTCCCACTCAGTCCTGCCTGGAGTTAGGCCTATTTCTCTCTCCTCCTGGCTTCTTCCAAGCTGGAGAGAGTCACATGGTCTCTGGCCAGGCACCTAGATTCCTTCCCAGATGGGTCTCTAGTACTTAAGAGACCTATTGTCCCTGGAGCCTTGCTAATTAGCATGTCCATAGGCTGAGCTCATTGCTCAAGCACATACAGAGAAACTCCTAATCTCCACACAGAGTCCATATTCCTAACGCCACACACAGACATTATACCGATATATGAAGAGCAGATACAGAATCGGTAGAAAGTAAGCTTTTGTTTGACACCTCACATGGCCCCCTTTGTACCCACTTTTGGGGCAACCCCCCCCCATGGGCACAGCAGTGACCTGGCTGCTCCCCTTAAACTCCGGTAACGTGACACCCTGGGGAGGGGCTATTTCAAAATAGCAGCAGTGGAGCATCCACAATAGCTATTTTAGAAGAGATGTGATTCCTCATGGAATGAGGTTTACAGAAGTCGGAATAAGCCACCCGTCATTTTGAAATTATTTTGAAATAATGGAATGGCCGTGTAGACGCTCACGTTGTTATCTCGAAATAACGGTGCAGTGTAGATGCCCCCTGAGAGAATTCAATCAGCCATTCCCTGGAAAGGAACCCTGCAATCCTGTCTCGGGCATGGCCCACCAGGGGGAAGAGAAACACCAAGTCGAAGTTTGATTAGCAGAGCCCAGACATAACTGGTTGGTCGTTAATCGGTCTGGCAGGCCGGCCACAGTCTCCTCCTCACCTGGGACCAGGACGCGAAGCTCTCTCGAGGCTCTCTGGGCATCAGGTCGATATGGGAGGTGGTGCACCTCTCGGTGAGCTGGGCAAGATCCCTCCGGTATGTTACCCCAACGTTTCCCTGGGACGATACAAAAGGAAAGAGGGAGCAGCAGTGACCCAATTCATGCTTTGCCGACAGAAACGGAAATAAATGAATGAAATAAAGTGACACGCCAACATTGCGGCCAGCCCTTCGTTCCATTCGTGTGCCCCGGAAGCCGAGGGAGCTAAGAATCCCAGTTCAGAGACCCTTCCCCCTTTGAGATCACCTTTGACCCGGAGCGCATGGGAAAGAACGTGAGGATCCCTTGCTGGAACAGAAGGTCTCAGCTGCTTCCATGAACCCAGAACACAACACATCTCCTCTACCTTTGTGCCTCAAAAGCCCTTCGAGTTTCCCACCCATGTGCTCAGCCCCCCAACTGCCTCTGGAGACGCCTGTTTTCCATCCCACCCTGCTCCCCTACAACTGACCAGCCAGGAACCCACGGCAGCCCCCAAAGGGGAAACACCCCAGCACGAGATCCTGGAAGCATCCCAAAGTAAATACAGTATGTTGAATCCTCTGGCGACTGTCCTGACTGTCAGAAGCACTGGGCAGAACTGCATGAATTTGGACCAGACCAGAGACCTCTGGAACTCCTCGTGGCACAATTGAGGGCCAGGGTGCCGCCTAGGACATGACCCTTAACAGGAACGGTGCACGGATGTGATCTCGTAAATACGAAAATGTATTTGTCTAAACAATTAGCGGGATGAAGGCAGCACACACTGGCCCGGGCTGACCTGACCCACCTCTATTGGATTCAGAGGAGGACATCCCTTTCCTATATGCATGCGAGAGGTGTTTTCTCGGAGGCAGACACGGTGCTATACCTCCCCGTGTCCAGCGCGGGCCCCACCCGGGGCGAGGGGACGTGTGTGCGCGTTGGCACTTCGGGGTCCCCATTTCTGTGGTTGTCACATATTGTTTGTTTTATAGTGTGGCGGGGTGGGGGGCTGTCTGCTCTGTAACCCAGTGTGGTGTGGGGGGGCCTTGCTGGTTGCTGGGCTTGGGCGGTGGGCTGTGGGTGACCTCCACTGGCGGCTGTTTGTAGCACGGCCCAACAGGACGGCGGATGCGTCACTAGGCAAGGGGCTCCCAACCAGCCTGACCGGTCGCCTCCCAGGGAGGGAGACAAAGGGAGGAAGGCGGGGTCCAACCCGCGCTGGGGGGCAGGGCTGGAAGGCAGGCAGGTACTGTCTGGGAAGCAGGGGAGGAGGGGCTAAGGAGGGGGCTGAGATTGTAGGGCCCAGCCACCCCCCATCTCAAGGGGGGGCTCTGAGGCCTCCTGGCCCCAGGCCCTGTAACCAGATGACATCTGTGCTGTGCTGTATCCTGGAGAAGCAATAAACTCCCTCTATTCTACTGGCTGGTGGAGTCTGTCCATGCCACTACGGGGGTGCGGGAGATGGGGGAAACCCCAACGCGCCGTTGCATATGGTGATAACTACGGGTTAGTCTGGTCTGGCTGAAACAAAAGACAGGACTGTGCAGCGCTTTAAAGACTAACAAGATGGTTTATTAGGTGATGAGCTTTCGTGGGCCAGACCCCCTTCCTCAGATCAATATGTGGAAGAAAATTGGCATAACCCTATATACCAAAGGGATATTTTGTGGCAGCACCGATGGGTCCACCACAGACTCACCTTGCACTGGACTCGCCCAGCAAACACACCCACAGGAAACAGAGACGCTATTTATCATCATCCACAGCCGGGTGGGAAGTGGCCTGTCCCTTTTCTCTCACCTGTCTGACGCCGTGATGTGTCTGCAGCCCAGAGAGAACATCTACTCGGGATGGGTGCGTACTGACACCAGCTGCTTGCAGGCCGGACGGGCTGCCCTGCAGTGCTGTGTGAAATGTAAATGCGCCATTCCTGGGTTTTTACTTCTGAACCGGCTCTCGGGCTTTTGTGTGGGTAGATTTGTATCTCACTGATTTTGATCATCAATTTTGCAATAAGGTATTCATGCCGAGGGGTTGCCATAGAAACGAGCGGCGCCCCATTCAGAGTCCGGGGTATGTTTTCCCATTTTGAAACGGCTGCTGGGTGTTTTGCATGGCACTTCTAGACACGTCTCCCCCGGAGCGGTGGAGGAAAATATTGCATTATCAATGCTATGCTTGCCCACAATGGTTTTATTTCTTTTGAATACTGTCAAGTGAATTTAACAGAGAATTAATGAACAGGGATCCAAGATGGGGATGAGGATGCTGCCAAAACAAACCGCGGCCAGTAAAAGTAGGAGAAAAACAAGCAAGGAAGTGAAGAGCGTGGTCAATAAAATATGCACGCTGTGTCCAGCCGCAGAGCGAGAGGTGAGGGACAGGAGGGGCCCAAGACAACGGATTCTGATGTTCATCGAACGGCTCGTTCTAGGGACAAAAGGCGCCCAGCAGCGTGAAAGCCGGAGCAGTTCCTATCCAATGCCTGGAAAGGCGACTGATCAGGACGGCGTCGATGTCTGGGGCTTGCTGCTGCCCGGGGCCACGGGCATCACTGGGTCCCAGTCCCGATGCACGTTCAGGGTCTCCAAACGCCACGGAAAGAGAAGCAGAGCGGGCCGGCGGCAGTTAAACCAGAGCAGTCGAGAGGAAGACGCCTGGCTCTCCCGGGTCGGGGGGAAAGGGGAGTTTTGTCCCTCGCTAGCACATCCCCCGCCATTGCTCGGGCCCTCACTGGCATGAGACGCCCTTTCATAAAAGCAAAGAAAAATGTATAAGTGTTATGCAAATGATTGTAACCACCCCCCCGCCATTGCTCGGGCCCTCACTGGCATGAGACGCCCTTTCATAAAAGCAAAGAAAAATGTATAAGTGTTATGCAAATGATTGTAAAGGGCAGGGGGTTGGGTGGGGTGGGGGGTGAGGGCAGGGTGTGGGGCCGGCAGGAATCAAGGCATGAGGCTGGTGGGGATGCTCAGAGCAGGAGGTTGGGTGTATGGGGGGCTGTGACCAGAGGATGGGGGTGCAGGAGTGAGGG